GAGAGGGCAGCGCGGTCCGGGCCCTCCCCGCGGCCGCCACCGCCCCCCAAAATGTCGGGAGGGGCTGAGCTTCACCCCGAGAGCCGGCTGAAGGGCTTCGGGGGCGCGGCAGCCGGGAGCGGCCGAAGAAAGTGCGAGGGGTCAGCGGTGCCGAAAGCAAGAGGCAGGGTAATGGGGTAATTAGCCTAAGAGGCTTTGCTGGTTGTATGTAAAGCCCTTAATAAATTCAGGCGTTGGGGAGCTGTGCGGTGCGAGGGGCTGGGTGCCCGGGGCTTGGCCGCCCTCAGCCCCGGGGGGGTTTCTCCCGGCTGCATCCCCCGGAGGATGCGACCGTGGGGCGGCACATGTTGGGGATGAGCCTCCCGCTTCGTGGCGCCAGGAGCGGGATCTCCCAAGTTGTGTCTTCGTCAAAGAGCTGGCCGGGCTGCCTGGATGGGGTCAGTCACTCCCTGGTGTTGCTGATCCAGCCCCCACGACGATGCTCGGGGTCAGAAATGTGTGTGAGCAGTGCTCTGCTACCGAAAACACTACAGGGAGCGGGTGTTTAAGCCCTCTGACCCTGCAGACTTGACCCTCCCGTGTGTCCCCGGGACGTCTCGGGGCAGAGCATCCTTCTGCGCCTCTCCTCTGCCTTCTGTGGGACCGAATTCCCGTCGCCCGCAGTGGGTTGTGCTGCATGGCTGAAACCCTGGGCCCAGGACTCCAGAGACGTGTCTGCAAGCTGATTCTGCAGGAGATGAGTTCCCCGTTCCTTTATCCTCATTACCTCTTTTACAAAAGCATGAAGCACGCTAAAATCCCTGATTGTAGCAACTCTGCCCAAACACCACGTGTGCCTCCGGGGCTGCCTCCGCTGCTGCTAATGGTATCCACACCAACAGAAACCTGGTTTTTCAGCCCAGAACCCAAAGCTGTGGGTTTTGCGAAGGGAGAAGCAGCTCAGAAACAAGAAATGAAGCCATCTGACCCCTGAGAGGGGGAAGCTGGGCAGCACGGCTCCTGGGGTCTGTCGGGGGGGAGGCAATGCCGTTTCTCTCTTGCCATGTGAAAATCAAGACCAAGGCATCGGATCTTCTCAGATCCCACAGGAATCCGGCGGCTGGGGAGTCCCATCCCCGTGTCCCCCCTCTGCCAGGACCCGCAGTCACCATGGTGACAAGTGTCAGTGACGGCGTTTTGCCACGGACTGTGGTGACCTCGTTTTCTTTCCAGAAGAGCGACTCGGGCCAGCTGCCAGCGGCACATGGGGTCCGGCGCGGGGGACTCCACCTCCCCGGGTCCAGAGCAAAGACTTTGGCCCCGTTACCCGGGGCCGGGCTGCGATCCTGCTGCACTTGGCCCTTAGACCTTGCACTGCGGGTGGTTTGCTGGGTTGTAAACAACCTGCCCTGGGAAGGGGGCTCTGTCAAAGTCTCCAAAAACCGCAGCGGCTGCCCCGAGGACCACGCACTCTGCAGGTAAGCTGGTGAAAACTGTGTGTTTCTGTTATTTATTGACCAGCGAGGTGGGTACCTCCTTGGCTGGAGCTGCAGGGGCAGCCCAGGATGAGTCCCCGGGGCTGCAGGTAGAGGAGGCGGCCCCGGTGCTCGCGGGCCTTGGGTTATAAAACCACAGCAGATGGGAAGCAGCGCGGGTCGGGATGACTCATCCCTCCATCCCAGCAAATGTCAGCCCCGCTGCGAGCTGCCTTGCACAGCAGAGATGCTGCGCTTCACCTTGCCCAAAGGAATCTGGAGGCTAGAATTGATTCGTGCTGCCCAGAGCCAGGTCTGGCTGCGGGTCTCCATCCCCCCCCCCCCCCCCCCGACACTGCATCCAGGGATGGGACCCAGGCCAAGGTGACGTGCCCCGTTGTACCCCCAGCCCTTCTTTGAATCAGTCCTTGGTTCTCTCTGCCCACTCGGTGGCTGCAAGGCTTTTCCAGGCCATAAGGCAGGAAAGCTCCGTCAAGAGGGAAGAGTGAGGGGAGCAAGGGGGGCTGCAGACCCTCTTTGCAGCTGGTGGTTACAAACAGCAGTTCTCCCAGCTGGGGAGGGTTTGGGGTGCTGGCACAGCCACCCTCATGTGCCAGCAGCCCTGAGGGCAACAGCAGCGTGAGGAGCCATCCTCACACTGCTCCTGGAAGACACCCGCTGTTCCCCATTTCTTTCCTCCATGCCCACCTCTTGTCTCCAGCCCGTGCCAGGGGTTGGGGAGAATCAGGAGGGCCCTGGAGTGGTGCTGGGCCGCCGGGTGTGGAGGGCTTCCACCTCTCCCCGCCTGCCTGCCCATGGCGTGCTGGCTAGCTGGAGGGGAGAGGAGGATGCCGATGGCTGTGCCTCTCTGTCCCACGCTGCCGCAGGGCACGAAGCAACCGTGGCCTTTTCTGCCGGGCAGAGGAGTGTGGCTGTGGACAGCTGAGCCGCAGCTTTTCTGCTCGCCCGCGGCTACAGCGTGCCCAAGGGTAGAGCCAGCGATGTCACCCGGAGCACAAGGGCTGGAGCAATGGAGATACATTCCCCTCCCACCGTGGCAAACTGCACCCCCTCTCCACCCGTGAATTCAGTCCCTGCTCAGCGCTGGCAGGTGTTGAAGGGGGCTTGGGAGGCTTGACAAGAAACACAAATGCTCCAAGAGCAGCTCAGCCCCTTCCCCGCAGCCCAACTCTGCTCCTGCAGCAGAGCCGAGGCCAGCTCGGGTCTTGGGTCCCGGGAAGCCCCAACGTGTCCAAGCAGCCCCCCAGCCCCAGCGCTGCCCTCCAGGCATTTCCCCGCTGCAGGGAGCCGGAGCCATGCGCGTGGCCGTCATCGGGGCCGGCGTGATCGGCCTCTCCACCGCCCTCTGCATCCACCAGCAGTACCACGGCCTGGTGCCCTCCCTGGAAGTGGAGGTCTACGCAGACCGTTCCACACCCCACACCACCAGCGACGGGGCGGCCGGCTTGTGGCAGCCCTACCTGAGCGACCGCGGCAACCTGCAGGAGACGTAAGTGAGGAGGAGGAGGAGGCTGGTGTCGTGTCCCCGTGGGCATGCACGAGGCACTGAACTGCCCGGGCACAGCTCTGTGGGGCTGGCAGAGCCACCACTCTCCTGTTTTCATCCCAGGCTCTGGAATAAAGAGACCTTCGACTACCTCCTCGGGCACCTGGGCTCACCGGCAGCGAAGGAAATGGGACTTTTCCTAATTTCTGGCTACAACCTGTTTACGCAGCCGGTGCCGGTAAGGAGCAAGTCACAGCCAGGGCTGGGAAGGGCTCCAGCTCGGAGGCTGCCCGGGGGCGGGCAGGGTTGTACTTCTTCCCAGACGATGCTCTGAATGCTCCCGAATCCTTCCAAGTTTGTCTTGTGACAGTTTGCCCAGGACACGGTGTTTTCTGTGCCCCCGATGTGATACGGGTATGAAGTAAGGGCTGAGCCCTCCGAGGGGGGGAGCCAGCCGTGGTGTGCCACAGCCACCCGCCTGCCCGTGCTCCTTTAGGGTGGGCCGTGTCCCCCCCACGGCTTCTGTCCCACGATGGCACTGCAATTCAGGTTCATTAATGAGCTCGGACCTTTTTCCTACTGCAGGACCCATCTTGGAAGAACATTGTCCTGGGATTCAGGAACTTGACACCAAAAGAGCTCGAACTCTTCCCTGGTTACAGGTATTTATCAGTCTGTTTTTTGGAGGGTCACTGATGAGCTTTCCCCCCGGGCAGGACAGGTACAGCTGGATGGTCCCCGTCGAGGACGAGAAACTGTGGGCACACAAGTGGCCTTGCTTCATTACAGCTGCTTCCCTTAAAATAAGCAGGAAACACCTCAAACAAACCAAAAAATCAGCAGCCCAGCCTATAAACTGTCCCAGGCCCTCTCTTACTTCACCAGATATTGTCAAACTGAGGGAAGAAAATCAGCAGGAGGTGTTTTATGCTGTAAACAGAGGGGAAAAAAAACAGGCACTTGCGCAGAGGGGAAGCGGGGTCTGCAGCGGCTGTCGGGCCCCTGCTCCTGTAAACTCGTCCGTACAGTTTCCTCTCCTCTCCCGGTTTCAGCTACGGGTGGTTCAACACGGCGCTGATGCTGGAGGGCAGGAGGTACCTGCCGTGGCTCACCCAGAGGTGAGTGAGGAGCTGCCCCAGCGCTGGGGCTGGTGTGGGAGGGCTGCTGCTCCCCCCCAGTTTCACCAGCAAGACATGGGAGGCAGGTGTGGATTTTCCTCCCGCACCTCAAGTGTTGCCCCAGATCTTTCTCTCCTGCCAAGCTGGTGGCTGAGTTTAGGCAGAGCTCATTTTAGGTGGCTGTCCTGTGTCCTGCTCCGCTTCTGACCAGCTCAGCTTGAAGGTGCTGATGGCTTCCACGTGACGGCACCCACGGGGCACCTGAGTGTCCTCCCCTGCCCTCAGCAACCCTCACCCTGTGCCCCGCAGCACAGGGATGAGCCGGAGGAGAGGGGAGGCAGGGATGCATCCCTGGGAAGCTGGGACAAGGGTCTGGAATTCCAGCTCATTGCCTCAGTGGGGTATCAGTCTCCCCACTTTCACCGCTAGCCCAGGAGTGGATTTTTGTGTAACAAAAATGAAAGTGATGGGACACTTGGAGCTGCATCTGAGCGCTTTGAGCTACAGGAGTGTTTGGGACTTGGTTTTGTTCTTGTCATTTCTAACGTGGAGCGGGTGCCCTACCCACAGCAGGAGGGCTCTGACACAGGGCTTAGCTGCTCGCCCTCGCTAGCTCGGGGCCGTTAGGGAAATGAGCCCGTGACTGGAGACCGTTAGGAACCGCTGAGAAGAGCACGGCTGTTCACGGCACGGAGCACCACGCCGTTCCTTCTCTGGGTATCAATTATGGGCGCTAATTTGAACGGTACATTTGCTTTTAATTTGGTGGTCACAAATGAACCCGTTCTTCCCAGGTTAATGCAGAGAGGGGTGAAGTTTTTCCAGAAGAAGGTTGAATCTTTCCAGGAGGTGAGTGGTGATGTCGAGCCAGGGCAGCGGGCAGCAGCATCCAGCAAGCACGTGCTGCTCCGGGGCATCCCTCGGCACGAGTTATCGGTCAGTGCGAGGTTCGTGGTTGGACTAGATGGTCTTCAAGGTCTTCTCCAACCTGGATGATTCTGTGATTCTATGAGCAATAGGCCAGGGGACAGCGACAAGACTACACCAAGATCTAGGAAACAAATTCTACCAGGTCAGATAAAGGCTCTTGGGCATCAAGAGATGGCTGAGAGGGGACGGGGTAGAGCCTGTGGTTGATGATGCAGCCAAGCATCATCAGCAGAGCTTTCCTTAAAAACATTCTCCTTGCCTGCACTCACGGGGTCCCTGCAGGAGCCGTGCTGGGGGAGCTGGGCCCTGGATCCGGCCCTTACGGTTTATTCCTGACCGGAGTGTTGGACCGATGCCTTGGCTTGGCTTTGATGCAGGAATCTCGTGTCCTCTGTGCGCAGCGGCCTCGGAAGCGTCGCTGCGTGTGCGCTGCTCACCGCGTCTGTCTCTCGGTAGGTGTTTGCCCAGGGCGTGGACGTTGTAATAAATTGCACCGGGGTGCGTGCGGGGGAGCTGCAGCCTGACCCGGAGCTACAGCCCGGCCGTGGACAGGTCATAAAGGTGAGGTGGGTGCAGGGCTTGTGTCCCCACTCTTTTTTTCAGAGGAGCCATCCGTTAGCCACCTTGGGGGCGAATCGTGGGCTCGTGGGCTGCACCCACGCTGGGGTCGGGTCCTGATTCCCAGCAAACGATGGTTGGGTGAAACCCTCGTGTGGGAGGGACCCAGAGCAGAAAACCTGGACCCTGTTTCTGGTTCAGCCATGGGGGAGCCCCGAGTCCCCAGTCCGTTTCTTTGGGTGAAGGTGCAGGGAGCCAGAAGCATAATGCTAATAATAAAAACCCATAAAATCCTTGGGGGAAGAGGATGATTATTTGGGGAAACACAGACTCATGCCAGGTAGGAAGCTCCTCCGCTTGCCTGCCTGCTCTCCTGCTGCCTCCCTGAGCTGGGGACCCCACACTCCAGCTCTCCCTGACCCTCTCCCCTTCATCTCCCAGGTCCTGGCGCCGTGGGTGAAGCATTTCATCATCACTCACGACATCGGCTCTGGTATCTACAACTCGCCGTACGTCATCCCCGGGTAGGTGCGGGCGGGTGCCGTGAGCCACGCTCTGCTCCCACAGCTCCGTCTTGGGGGCAGCTCCCCACTGACGTCTGCTCCGCCGCAGCCCAGGCCTGGGTTCACACCCGGCTGATTTTCTGCATGGGAGGGGAGTGGGAGGACGTGGCAAAGCGAGGGGGCTCCCTGGCTGGCACAGAAAGCGCCAGCTCCCTGCACAGACCCCGCCTCGGCTCTCAGGTGTGAGCGGGGCTGGGCTGGTCCTGGGCTCTCGCATCAGGCAGCACCACAGGGCTTCAAAAAAAACCCATGGATATGAATGTAGAGACAAAAGATTTCCCCCAGAATATTGGCTCTTCAGAGGACCTGGCCAGGATTGGTGTTTTGCTTTGGTGGGATTTGCCCCTCGGAAAAGGACAGGACCAGGGACCTTGAAGCCCTGTGGGTTTTTTTATCAATAGTGTTGGCAAAACTGCAGCTCACGGTGGGGAAAGGCACTTCCAGTTCATCCTCCCATTGAAACCAGTGCCAGGAACCCTTTTTACTTTAATCAAAGCCTCCCCTAAAAAGCTCAGCCTTCCCCTCCCTGTTACCCTGAGCATGAGGCGTCTCCTGAGGGCATCTCAACAGGTTTAGCACCTCCCTGAGGGAGCCGAGGAGAAATCCCAGGGGAAAACCTTATTTCCGTGTCCCCACAGGGGTGAGAAAGGCTGAAACAAGATCCCAGCCCCAAAAGCACCATCTCCCAAGCTCAGCAGGCGCCTGGGCAAAACCCAGCTTCCAGCATTTATTTTGCACTTTCCACCTGCTTCCCACCAGCAGCTTCCTTAGGGGAGTTGGGATCTATTGGAGACGGCAGCGTATGCGTGTACCCAGGGAGCTAAACTGCAGGATAAATAAATACATGTTTGCTGTTCATCCCGCCTCTGTTTCCTCCCCAGAGCAGCCATCCTACCCCTCTTTGGCAATGGCGAGGGGTTTTTTTAAGCTGTAACTTGAATGCTGCATTTCTGGCACTTCCTATTGTGCTAATATTTCAGGATTAGGCAATAAGCCATTATGTAAATGGGAACTTTGAATGCTCACAGCCCCCAAGCAAAGTATTCCAAGTTAATTTCTGATCACAGTCACAGCTACGTATGAATTCCTCTCCCTGTGTTTATTTTAGCTTGAGCTGTCGTAGCTGGGCACCAGCCTCCCAGAGGAAGCAGCCGGCTCCAGCGCTTGCACATGGATTTCACCTCTTCCATGCTGGAGAGATCAGCCCTGGGGCTCCCCTCCTGCGTGCCCCAGCCTTCATCCCTTTTGTCTTTGTGCTTCCCAGGTTTTAGAAGGTTTTAGAAGGGCCCAGCAGGTCCAACCACCCCCAGCTTCCCCCAGCCTTAACCTGTCTCTCGTCCTCTGTTGATCTGCAGGAGTTTTGAAGCGGTGGCCGCAGCAATCTGTTTCCTTGTGTTCCTCACCACAGCATCCTCTTCCCTCCCACTCTCTTCCCCAGCCAGGCAGGAGCAGACGGGTCTGATAGACGATGAAATCAGCTCTTTGGTTTGCCCAAGCAAGGGCCTTTTGGGGGCTGATAGTATTTAATGCCTGACTTGGGAACAGACTCGCAGGCAGGAGTTTCTCTGGCAGGAATATGTTGCAGGCTCAGGGCATAGCAGGATCCAGACATGACACCCATGCCAAGGGGGGGCCGGGGACACTCGCCACCATTTGTCTCCTCTGGCTTTTGGTGCAGGAGTGAGTTCACCGTCTTGGGAGGGATCAATCAACATGGCAACTGGAACGAAGAAAACAACGCCCAGGATCACAAAACCATCTGGGAGAACTGCTGCAGGCTGCTCCCCGCTCTGCAGGTGGGTGACCCTGACCTGGTGTCCACCACCAGGAGGTAGGGAGGGGGCTCAGAGAGCCCAGGTGCAGTCGGGCACCGGGGATAAAGCACGAAACCTCTTGATGTGAGGAACAGTTGGCACCTGAGCGGGCCGGGGGAGCCAAGGGGTTTGTGCAAAGCGGCCGTTGCTTACGCAGCGTCAGCCGCCGCGCTGAGAAACATGCCAACGGTGGGTGAAGTGTGCACACAGAGTAACCCCGGGCTGTTTGTGTGCACCCCACGGCAGCACGTGGCACTCGGCGAGGGTAAATCACGGGGGGTGGCACGGCTCGGTGCTTGTGTGGGCCTGGCTGCGTTTGTCATGGCACATCTCGGGCTCTACACGTGGCCGGTTGGGGTCTGGGGCTTTTGAGACAAGGTCTGGAGGAAAAAGTAATTACTCATATAGCTGGTAAAAAATGAGAATGAAAGCTTTGGGAGGTCCCAGCCCTTCGGTCGTGGTGTGTCTCTGCATCAGAGACAGGCTGGGGCGGGTTCTTCAGGCCAGTTGCCCCTCGCAGCATCACGGGAGCCGGTGCAGCAGCAGGGAGGGGGGAGCCTCAGTCCCTGCTCCCCGCCACCTCACAGATCACTCGGTGCCGCGACGTTTGGCCGCATAATTTGGAGAAACGTTGTGCAGGTGCTGACGTGGTTTTTGCTTTCAGAAAGCAAAGATCGTAGAGGAGTGGAGCGGCTTGAGACCGACGCGGCCCCGGGTTCGCCTGGAGCGGGAGACCCTCCGCCACGGGCAGTTCCAGGCAGAGGTACCGTGCGCAGCCCCCAGCCGCCCAGCACCATTAACCACCATGCTAATTGTGCCTTGGTTGCTAATGAATTGTGCCTCGGTTGCGAATTAATTATGCATCGGTCACCGTGACCGTGGCAGCACAGCACCAACACCCAGCTCACAGGCGTCCAGCAGGGCCTCGCTCCGTCTCCCCTCCAATAATGGGTGAAGTTTTGAGACAGTTTCAGCCCAGTGTCAGAGATAAGTGCTGAAGATACTTTGGATGGATTTTATGGGGAGAGTGGGCAGGGAGTGCTCCTGCCAAAGGAAAACCTGCAGCTGGAGCTTAGTCCTTACAAAAAAACCCATATGGGAGAAAACCTTGGCAGAGGCTTTGCCGCTCCCAGAACCATGCGAGGCACATGCGAAGCGTGTTTTGGTGTCAGCATTTAAAGTAGCTGCTGGCAGCCCATAAGTCTACAGCCCCTGTGCAGGTGAGCTTCATGTCTCTGTTTAATAAAACCCAATACGCAGTTTTTAATGAAATGCTCAGAGCCTCCAGCGCTGACACCAGGTTGTCGGTGCAAAAAAGTTTGGACTTCTCGAGGTTTCTCCCAGTTTGAAGCTCAGCAGCAGCATGAAAGGAAACGTGGTGAAGGCTCGGGGGGACGCCGGTGGGGCTGAAAACTTCAGCTGCCTCCGTGTAGGTAAAGCTGGGTGTTTGGTGTGGAACCCCCCCAGGGAAATGGCTCTTCAAATTGCCTCCCTCAAGGAGACTGGGGATGGCACGAGTCTATGAAAATATATTCTGTTTTCAGTCGGAGAGTCTCGGGGAGAAAACGATGTATTTAGGCAAAGCCCAGAGCGGTTCGAAGCGACGCTGGGTGTGAATTAGCTTGGGGGTTGCTCTGTTCCTTTACCTGCGCTGCCCGGGCAGGCAGAGGTGGAGCTGTGGAGGGCAGCGAGGAGCTGAAGCGCGGTGATTTACCTTGGCAGGAACAAGCACTTGGGAGGATGCAGCAGGTTGTGCTCCCAGGAACGCGGCCGAGAGCTCTGCGGCTGCCTGCGGGGGTGGCTGGAGCAGCGGGTGCGGAGGATGCTCCAGGGCCGTGCAGAGTTTCTCTTGTCTCCCCCAGTGGCTTTTGTAGGGAGGGAAAGAGCAGCGGGTCGCTGAGCTGAGCACCAGCAGCTCCCAGAACGAAGGGTCAATCGTGTGCTGCAGGCATTTCACCAGCTTTGTTAAAGTTTGGGTTTTTTTATTTTTCTGGAGCACAGGTCTGCTGGGGAGCGGCTGGGGGAACTGGGGGGGTTCAGTCTGGAGCAGAGGAGGCTGAGGGGAGACCTCCTGGCCCTCGGCAACTCCCTGCCAGGAGGGGGCAGAGAGGGGGGATGAGTCTCTGGAGCCAAGGCCCCAGCGCCAGGCCCCGAGGGAATGGCCTCAAGCTGCCCAGGGCAGGGTCAGGCTGGCTCTGAGGAAGGATTTCTGTGCAGAAGGGGCTGTTGGGCGTTGGAATGGGCTGCCCAGGGCAGGGGGGAGTCCCCGGGATCCCTGGAGGGGTTGAAGAGTCGGGCTGAGCCAGCGCTGAGGGATCTGGGGGAGTTGGGAACGGTCAGGGGGAGGGTCATGGTGGGGCTGGAGGAGCTGCAGGGGCTTTTCCAACCCGGATGATTCTGGGATTCTGTAAAGACCTCGAGGATATTCCCTGTCCCTGAGCCCCAAAGGGCTCCAGCGCAGCTTTCCCAGCACTGATTCCTTCTCTCCTCCCCCAGGTGATCCACAACTACGGCCACGGCGGGTTCGGGATCACCATCCACTGGGGCTGTGCCATGGCAGCAGCCAGGCTCCTTGGGACCATCCTCCAGGAGCAGCTGCTGGCGGGGCCGCCACAGCCCCGCCTTTGAGTTGCCTCCTCACCCCGGGATTATCGTGACAGTGGTAGCTCAGAAATCACAGCAGAAAGATGCCAATAACACAGCGATACACCTTGGCCATCCTCCCACCAGCTCCAGCACTGCTTCCTAGCGTCCTGTTGTCAGGTTGCTGCCGTTCGCCAGATGGTTTTGTTCCCTCCAGCCTGGCCTCACACAGCCTCCCTAAAGGAAGTGCTTTAAAATACAGACTGATTATCTGTGGCAAAGTGCAACTTCTGTCCTGAGGATCAGCCTGCAAAGGGCAGGCAGGGTTCAGCTGACATCCTGGCAGTCCCACAGTTCATCTGCGCAGTGTGACAGGGCCCGAAACTGAGCTGGTGCCACCTGAGGTCCTCACGGGCTGCTCCGACACCCAGCATGAAATTAGATCCGCAAGCTTCCCCCAGGAGGCAAAAGCTCCTTAGTAGGAAGAAGCTCTGAAGCTCCCAGGGAAGTAACAACAGCTCCAAAAGCACGTGCTTCAGTTACAATAGCTTTTCTTACGCTCGTGCCAGGGCAAAGCACGGGTCTCCAGCACCTGGTTAGTGTATCTAGCAATAGACAGCGGCCGTTGCCTAAAATGGGCTTTCCAAATGATGTTTTTAGCAACAAAAGCAACATGTTCCAGCCCTGCGTACTTGCCAGGCTCTATATATAGCAGAGAGCATACGCAAAATAGCTGTTCTGGTCCCTAAAACTCCCATGGGCCCTTCAGTTTCTCCTTTCCTCCAGCCGTGAGACGGGGCTGGAGCAGCAGCTCTGAGAGGAGCCGCCTCGGGGCAGCTCCCAGGACGGGGTGACTTTTCAGGGCTGTTCAGTGATGCTGTTGGGGACCCAAAACCCTGTTCTGAAGATTTTTGGCCGATTTTTTCCACGCCGTGTGTCCTTCCTGCTCTGAAATATATCATCACAGAGGAGATGCTGAATGGTCAAGAAGCATCAGCCTCAGACCCGAAGGCTGGCGGTTGTCCCGAGCCCAGCACACGGTGCCTGGCTCGCGCTCCTCTGTGCGTAAGCCAACTGTTCCTTACTCATCTGTGATGCAGCTTCTCTCTCCCTCCGACTCCACGTGCCAGAAGTAGCTCATCAGCCTGGTTTGTGATGTGAATGAGAGATGCTGCGGTGCAGCTGGGCTCGTTTTACCTCCTGGCCATCTGGATTTAAAACAGTCCTGTGAAAAAGGGGCGTTTTCCAGCCGCAGCCTGGCCCTGCCGTGGCTCTGACCCGTCTCCTGACGTCCTGCTTCAGTTTTGCTGAGGAAAAGAGAAACTCGTGAAGGTTTTGTAGGCAGCGATGAGCACTGGGTGCTGCTGGGGTCCGTGCACGGGAGAGCTGCTGCCTCGTGGGTGCATACTAAGGCTGGTCTGGCTGTCAGCAGCGCCGAGGTCACCGTGCCAGCGCAGCCCCTGCGAGACCTTCCAGCTACCTCGTTTCCCACCGAGCCCTGTCAGACTGTTGTGTGCTTCTCCAGTTTACACCCCGAGCTTTGCTGAGTGCATCTGCTCGCTATCTGCCCGTTTACAAAAGCAGCAAGGGTTAGTCTCACCCTAAGGGCCAGGATTTCTCAGCGGCTGCCGCCCAGTCCCCTTCCCTTCCTCTCTTCCTTTTGTAAAGGCACGGGAGGGTCGTGTTTGGCCTCTGCTACGACCCCGCAGCGCTGCCAGAGCGAAGCTGCAGGGGGAATTCTCATGCCTGTAGCACTCGAGTCCAAGGCAACAACTTGCTGTCGAAGGCACCGACGAGAGCAGATGCTGAAGTGCCTCTGGCTGCGTTTGTGGGCCCAACACCAGCGGCTCCTCACGACCTTGAGAAGCACAAAGCACTTTCTGGTTGTCGCTGGACTGCAGGACACACTTAGGCCAGGCCTGGGCAGCTGCCAGAGGTGACGGGAGACTCTGTGGGCTGTTGCAGTGTGGTGGCCCAGGTTCAGGCAGAGCGGAGCCGGGGGGTGCATTCAGGAGCCTGTCGTTGCCCAGTAGCTGACGCACCTCTACAGCGTGCTTAAAAAAAAAATAATTTAAAATTAGGAAAGTTAGGAGCCCCTGACATGTCTAGTCTGTCTGTCAAAAGGGTTTCCCACTTTATCTGGCAGCTCACCTGATTTACTGTAGCCACGTTCAAAGGGGTATAATCATGAAAAGGATGGAAAAAAGAAAACAATAGCTGAAGAAAAATTACCATTAATTAATGCTAAACCTAATGGTCTGTGATACCGCTTCCATAGGAGCCATTCAGTGAAACGGCATCTGCTCCATTTCACCGATTCCAAATCTGAGCTGTTAAGGACCGTGTTCTCCTCCCCTTGGCAGAGCTGTCGATCCAAAAGCCAAAGCGGTTCCAGAGGAGCTCCGCTGGATTCACGGGGGTGCAGCAAGTCACTGCCCAGCCTGCGATAAACCGTCGATTCTTCTGGTCTGAGAGCCTGCAGGAGCAGCTGTGCTGTGATCCGGCACAGCCTCTTGGAGAAACAGGCAGAAATTATGAGATGTGTGATTTTATTTGCAGGCTAATTTGGCTTTTTTTTCCTTAAAGCCCACAATTTAATATGCACAATAAATGTAATATTCAGGTATCTTGTGTGTGATGCTTTTTCTTCTAAGTGATGGCATGGATAGGGCCTCGAGTGCTAATTCCATAGAAACGTCCCTCTAGATGGATCATTCCACGTGTCCGCACACCATTTTCCTGCAGAAGGAAGAGCCGTCACTTCAGCTTCTGAGCAAACAAGCCTGAAATACCATCATGTGGTTACATGGTTGCCCACGTGGTGTTGTCAGTAGCCCCCGGCCCGCTGAGGGGTTGAAGAGTCGGGCTGAGCCAGCGCTGAGGGATCTGGGGGAGCTGGGAACGGTCAGGGGGAGGGTCATGGCGGGGCTGGAGGAGCTGCAGGGGCTTTTCCAGCCCGGATGATTCTGGGATGCTGTGAACTCACACTCCCCGACAGAAACATTTGGGACTTTCTCAAGGGTTTTTTTTTTTCTTGCTGATGACTCCGGTTAGAGAGTAGAGCAGCAGGAAAGGTGTTTTACACCGTTGGCAGCCATGGATGAAACACCTCGGGACAAAAGAGTCACTTCTGCAGCAAGGGGAAGGCAGGAGAGGCAGTCGGGTGCCTGGACAGCCACTGCACGTGTTTTCTCGACCAGCACAACCCGCCATCTCCAGCGGCCGGCATCAGCACATTTTACGAACTCACAGTTCCCAACAACGATTGCCTGTGACACAGAACAAAGCTGGAAATACATCAAGTATCAGTAAAGTTTTCCTCCGTAAGCAAACAGCAGCTCTGGCATTTTGGAAAACAGAACGAGCTTTAGAAATGCTCGAGGGTGCCAAAAAGTTCACAGAAAACACAGAAAAATGAATATTCTCCCCAAGTACCACGATGCAAACCCTTCTGTACTTACCAACTGTTCCCAGAAATAAGACTCTTCATCCCAGCGGCCTGTCAGCGGCTGCAGAAGCTGTGAGAGGGAAGATGGATGCACGCCGGGACGAGAACAGGCTGTATTGGCACGCAGAGGATTTGCAGATCGTTAGTCACTTTGTCTCAGACATGAACAACCTTATGTTTGTAAATCACTGGATGTCAAAATAAGGATATCATTTAAAGGGTGGAGGAATACAGTCAGGGTTCTGCACTTAATTCTGTTTTGTAAAAACAAGGTAGGTAGAAGGAAAGTTTACATTTAAAAGTAAATAAATAGAAGGAGCCCTCCCTGCCCTGAAGTCTGGCTACCTCCTCCCAACATGCCTTTGTGATCTACCCTCACATATTGCTAGAAATTCCCCACAGGCAAGAAGCAAAACTGGTTTTTATTGTCCAAACTGAATGAAATGCAAAAAGCAACTGAAGATCTTAAAAGATCATTTTAAAAATATCTTCAGCTGTAGTTATCTGCGAGGTTAGTTATAATGCGAACGTGAATCCTGTGACTTCTTATGACCAAATGCTCAAAACACAGAAAAATGAGAGAGATCTGCAGTCCACAGAGCAGCATACACCTCAGATCTCTGAACACCAAGACAGAAAAGTTACTGACCCTTCGTGAAAATTCCGTAAAACAGCCAAAAACATTTTTACTGAAAAAACTATTTATTTGTTTAACATAAAATATCTAGTGTGGAATTAAACTATCCAATGTTGCATCGGTAACATAGGAACGAAGGGAGTATTTTACAACAAGCTTGATCTACACAAAGTTTTTAAACATTAAAATGTATCCAGCTTAGAAACTGTACATTCAAACACAGGAAAACATTCAACGTTCTTTCGGCAAGCATTTAGGAATAATAAATCATTCCATCAAAGCACACCTGGAGAATTATTTTTCCCACAACAGCTTTGCACATTAATATATTGGACAGTTAGCAAAAATCTCTGAATCCCACAATTCTGTTTGCTCTCGATTTTAATTCAAAATTATCTCACTTTATTGTTTTAAATGAACGAGCTATATTAATTCCTTTATCGGTGAAAAATACTTGCCAGTGTGTAAAACAATCTTTGGAAGCTTATTATATACATCGATGGTGTTGCCATATAACAAAATATGACTTGTGATTATTTATAGGCTATTGTGTGTCAACCCAAACGTTCTTCCAGTTTTCCAGTGAACAATCTAAAATGTCCTTCCGTTATCAGTAACACGGACCTGCAAAACCTGAACTTCAGTTTCTTCGGTGCCCGAGAGGCTCCCGCTGCTTTCGGCAGCGGTGGGATTGATCCTGCCTGGCCTCCTCTATTCAGCTGATCCAAAGCCCACAAATATCCACGGGAGATTCTCCCGGACTTCAGTGAGCTTTGGATGGTGCCTTAGGCACATCGCTGCCTCCAAATCAAAGACCCAGAGTATGAAGATGTCTCAGCAGGACCCATTTCTATCATTAAATACATTTTCAATGAAGAATTCAGAAAAAGTAAAAAGCAAAAATGCTTTCAATCTTTTTTTTTTTTTTTTTTTTTTTTTAACTACTGTAAATGTCACAGGTTAAAACTGAACTCAACAGCATCAAAAGGTTTTGCATTACCTATAGATCTTTACCTGGGAAATATTTTCTCTGAAGTATACGTATGTGCAAATTTCTGAGACATAGATACTTCCCCTAAGCCCCTCTGAACGCACCCTCTGAAGGCCGTCACAACACAGTCCTTTAAACCTGTTGAATATTGACTCAGAACAAAAAAGTGAAGCGATATGTGAACATTAGCACTGGAAAAGCAGAATTTTAGCTAAAGGCGCTCAATAACAGACACACAAACCTCACAGCTCAGCTGCAAGCGCCGTTCCATCAGGCCAGGGACGTCACATGCCCTGTATTCCTTCTCACCTCTAACAGGGGCTCCCAGGCGGTGGGACTGTCCTCGAGGCCATCCCCTCTGGGGTGCGCAAACACGGCCGACAGCGAGCCCCCACGGCGAGAGGTGTGGGCTGCCTTCCTCTCGAGTGCCTTCACCAGCAGGAAGAAGATGATGGTAGTCAGCACTGTCACTAAAGGGTGAGCGGGCCACGCTGTGCAAAGGCAACGGGGGTTTTCGAGCTCGCTGGTCACACGTGTGGTGTAAGAGCTGACCTAAACCTGTCCAGGATGGCCTGGGCACCTCTCGCCCATCAGAGGGACGGCCCAAGGGAAACAAGCTCATCCACCTCTACTCCGAGGCAGCCCACAGCGCACTCGGGAGGATTATCCAGCTACAACCTGACAGAAGGAGGTGAAAAATTTTTTACACCAGGAGATCCTTGTCTGTCTACTGGGGATCGGCTGGAGCTGAGCACAGGGGAGACAGAGACAGCAGAGACAGAGACAACCAAACCAGCACAGGGCAACGGCCACCGGAACGGACTGGGAGTCTCTGGGCCACCAGCCACAGGCGCGGTGGGATCCCCTGCCAGCTGAACTGCATTTCCCTGGTCCTGGGAAAAGGAAAGTTTCCCTGTCTAGACCAAAGCTCCTTGGAGTCTTTCAGTGCAGTCACCACCACCGAGTGGTAAACAAACGGACAGACATTTTGGTGCCTTGTCAAACTTGAACTTTTCTCAGCAGAAGATTCCCCCTCACAAAATATCAATAACCTCTTTGGCCTTTTTTTTTTTTTTTTATTACTCTTAGTTTCCTCTGTTTCTTTAAGGAATTATCCCCTTCTAATTTTCCTTCAGTGCTACAAACAAACAGACAAACACGTCTTGGAGCATTACACTGCCCTACAGTGCTGTAAAACCCTCCGTGAAAGCTGAACGCCGTGTCCATTTGTATCGCGCCCAAACACGGACTCGGTGACCTATTCTGGCCCCACAGAAAAGGGGCCTGGCTCCCAGAATTCTTAAAATATTCTACTGTGCAAAAATAGGTTGCACGGTTACCTATGTTTACATGAGACAACTGATCACACATACTATAAAAATGTATTGCTTCCCACAGCCTCGTGATTAGCATTTAGTCCATCTCACCTACATTTGGTTGTGTGTTCCATCGTCTGGAATCCTGAAAATAAAACTGAGATGTGGATGAGACACGTCTCAGCTTCCTGATGCGTTTCCTCGCGGCACGTCCACAGGCTCTGAAATCTGACTTCCTGCATAGTGACAGGCTTTGGATAAACAAGACAAACTTCTCACCTGAACTCTGCTACATTCTCTGACAGGAGCGGGATCGTCCACCTCGAGGAGCGACGTCTGAAGGAGCAAAGTTCCTCATCGAAGGATGACTGTGGTTCGGCTCTCCCCATGATTTCTGTCCCTTTATGACATGATGCCAGCCTCATCCCTTTGTCCCAGGCTCCACGTCGCAGTCACTGTGCAATCAGCAGCTATCGAAAAGTTCTGCCCAGCTGTCGGGGGGCCAGGTTCTGCTGGGAGAGCCCTGAAGGCAGCTCCACACACAGCGCTGCACCCAGCTGTTCAGACTGAGGCATTTTTTATCAAAGGTCTTGGCTACACCACCGTGAGAACATACTGAGGCAAACTGAGCAGAAACAGACCTGGCCCCACACAGAAAACCCCAGCGAGCATCTCCCCGCACCAAGAGACACCGGTAGCGACCTTCACCGAGGCACAGACAGAGCGCCCAAGGACTCTGGCAAAGTTAGAGAAGTCAAATTCCGCTCCAAACTATCAGGATTTACATTTCTTAGATAAGGTTCCATCTCTGCAACAAACACCACTCCTCACTGACACAAACTACCTGTCTCGGATGGGAGAGACATTCAGAAAACCGTTTCCCAGCAATCAGTGCCTGTTAATTCTCAAAGAACAGAACCCATAAGCAAGGGAACAAGAAAGCATTGGTTGGTTTGCCATTATCACATTTTGTTGTTGTTGATGGCTAAAAAGTGCAAGGCAGGCATCTAATTCAAAAAACCTATTCTGTAGTGTATGGAATCCACCGTGTGCTATGCCAGGTACACAATAAATATTAATCTTTTGTTTTTAGGCATCAAGAGTACATTATTTTAATTACAGCTTATACTGAGTTGCATTCAGTTAGCTATTTGCTTGACACGGGACATTTTAAGCTGAAGAGCTGACCATGCAAGCAAAACAGACTCAAGAAAAACCCTTCCTGCTAAACTTGGAATGATATCTGGATCAAATGCCTCTCAATACAGAAGTAAAGTTTTTATGAGTGTGAGTAAAGAGCAGCAGAGACACAATTTGCTTAGGATCAACCCAAAAGTTCCTGCGGTTTGACACATGACATTGGCAGTGACAGTATGGTCAGCTTTCTATGCTCAGGGTTGGATTGTTTGTGAAAGATCTTGCTCGTATCATTCATTCTTTCAGCAGGTTTTCATGTCCCATCATTCCTGTGATCCCGAGTTTGACCTGGTGACCCTTGGAGAATGAGATCCTCTCCCCACCATCTCCTGTCCCCATTCTCTGTGGCTGGACTCCTGTAAGCCACGACCTTTTGTCTCGATGGGCAGGAAGCAGGAAGCCACAGCAGCCAGCAGGCAACATCCACTGTAAACCACCAGAGTTAAATAGACTGAAGATTCCAACATCACCTGAAGAAAAAAAGGCAGAAGATACAAGATAGTACCCCTGGGCCTTAGCACAGAAAAAAATACTAATGCAGTAGTAGAAATTTTAATTACAGTATTGGAAAAAATGTTGAACGGGCACTGCTGTGTGCTTTCTTTCCTCAAGGTTAAACACTGACAGAGCAGTCTGGATTACAGGTGCCACAAGGTGCTGCTGCCCTTACGTATTAGACAGGACTTAAGCAAATCACAAGTTTTCGACCCAGCCCTCCGCAGAGCCACTGCTGCTGCGAGGCTTCCGAGTCCTGTCCCCGCAGAGCCTGGCTCTTTGCACGTGCCCTGAAGGTTTGTAGCCCCCAGCACCCCAGCGTGGGATCTCAAGAGAAAGGTGCCATTGCACCATGCACAGAAACTCCCCGCCTCTCACAAATCCCATCCTGGGTGGGGGCTTCCAAGGTGTCCTCACGTCCACCCAGCAGCCTGCTTCTTGGTTATTTATCCCCCAGCCTGTAGAACTCTGGAGCAAGAGGTAAGTTCAGTGAATGAGCCTGAATTCTCCTCAAGGAACAGGCAACAACAGCTCTCCTTCAACACGTCGTGCCCAGATCATCCTTGGTTTGGCCCTTCCAGAGGAAAAGTAGGTTCTTGCATCACCTTCCTGTGCCTTCAGTCTCCAAAAAAGGGGCTTTACCTGTGCAATGAAGGGGGTTATGAGGGCTCCCACTCTAGCCATTCCACTGCACGTTCCCAGGCCCAAAGCACGCGTGGCTGTGGGATAAACCTGTGAACAAAGCATCAGCCCATTAACCCCAGTGGGAAGTGCTCTTCCCTCCAGTCTCCTAAATCAATGGAAATTAATAAGTGGTACTACAGCAAGTTCTGTTAGACAATGACAATGAGATCATCAACTCATATCTGGGGTAAGGTCCATTGTGAAGAGGTCATAAAAATGACTTTCCCACCATGTTCTCACTCCCCTTAAATATTCTCATTACAAAAACAACCTCCTTACCTCAGGAGTGTAAACATAAGCAGCCTGAAATCCTCCTGAAATAAAAGCTCTTGCAATGAAGAGCAGCACAGTAAGAACATTTCTGTGAGAATAAAAAGGAGAGCAGTGTTTGGGATTGTTCTGTACAATCTGTTTGTTTAACTTGGAGGCAAGTGCAATAAAAATGCTAAATTTGTTAGAACGATTCCTTTTGTTTTTTAATGAACCCTCTGCATTTTTTCTGGACCTTCAGTATAGCAATGATGCCAAACAATCTGCATTCCCACAATCACATCAGTTTTCTAAGGGTATTCATTCTAACTGACAGCTGTGGCCTATTGAAACGAGCAGCAAATGCCTAAGCTTATCTAAATAAGAAAAATATATTCCACATTATGAATGGTGCTAACAAAAACCTGGCACACATGAGAAGGAAAAGAGAGTGCAGCTTTCCTCTTTAAAAAACATGAAGCTACGTACCACCTGGATAGTTGTAAGGTTTCTTATGGCAAGGTTTCTGTGCTGTGAGGTTTTGTACAATGCCTGAAGAGGTTTAAATCCAGAGAGCTCTCCTCTGGCTCTTAGGGCTTTTCCTTCTCTGGCAGCCCCAAGGTACAGACATCATCGCCCGCATGTGGCATGAAGGCCAGAGGCAGTCAGAGGCAGACTCTCAGAGCTCAGCTGGAAATCTGCTACCATCAAGATTCAGGGCAGAGCTGCCAGCTGAGCTGTTCTTTGGAAAATCTGCATGAAGGACAGATACGGAACAATACAAAAATGTGAACCCAAGTTCTTCTGAAAGTCGGGCCCCGTGTATCTGCAATGCCAGCATCAAGCTCCCCCAGCCGTGCTGTATCCAACTGCGAGCTGGTGCCAGGCTGTGCCTATAGTTTCTTAGGGAATTGTGCCGTAGCACCCAGCCCACCGAGAGCTCACGACAAGTGGAGCAGTCAGAGCAGCTGGCTGGGAGGCAGAGGCTGGGCTCGGCTGAGAGGAGCTGCCCTGGTACAGTCAGCCTGGGGAAACCGAGGTGAGGAACGCCAGGGAGCAGTACAGGAACCAGCTACTGAGGCTCACGACATCAGATCTGACTTTAAAATTGTCCAACGGTTACCTCCTACTCAGTCACAAGCTCTTATTTTCCCCTTGGGATTGTTCTGTCTGCAAGATTATAGTGAAGGATTTCTCCTCTCCTCCTTCTTCTAGTTTCTTTCCAAACTCTGATGAGAAAACCTAACACCATCCTTAATTCTTTCTCCAGTTGAGCACGACCATCTCATGGCTTTTTAATCCACCACTTCCAGTTCTCCTGCCATAATCAAGAGAGAACATGGATGAATCAGATATACCAGTTGTTGACTGCGTTTTACTTACCTTCCAACGCAGAGAAACAGCAGAAGACTGCAAAATGAGAAGACAAAAAAGGACAGGGCCATGGTTTTCTTGCGGCCTATCCGATCAATAATCCACAGTGTCACTAACACACCTGCAGAAGGAGACAAGCCGACTGTTGGGAATTGTGCAAAGGTGGAGGCTGCGGCAGATTTTAACCCAGGCGGGGTTGTTTAGATTGGACATTTTGTTCTCTCTTTCTCTCAAAGACTCTGCTGGCAGAGGCATCAGGCTGAGGTGCAGAATGGATTGCCCAGCCAATGGTGCCACATGAGAACAGAAGCTGCGGGTCCCGGCTGGCGAGTGTGGCTCCCCTGTTCACAGCCCCCCGGGCCCACACAGCCACACGCTCAGGGCCCCCGCGCTGACGCAGGAGTGAGCGACCCTGAGCTCTGCTCCCCACTGATTCCTGCCGCGGTTACCAACGGGAATGCTAAAAATGCCTGACTTATGGCTCACCCAAACAACCCCTGTTCAACGGAGCTGGGGCAGGGTCTGAAGCACAGGTCTGCTGGGGAGCGGCTGGGGGAACTGGGGGGGCTCAGTCTGGAGAAGAGGAGGCTGAGGGGAGACCTCCTGGCCCTCGGCAACTCCCTGCCAGGAGGGGGCAGAGAGGGGGGATGAGTCTCTGGAGCCAAGGCCCCAGCGCCAGGCCCCGAGGGAATGGCCTCAAGCTGCCCAGGGCAGGGTCAGGCTGGCTCTGAGGAAGGATTTCTGTGCAGAAGGGGCTGTTGGGCGTTGGAATGGGCTGCCCAGGGCAGGGGGGAGTCCCCGGGATCCCTGGAGGGGTTGGAGAGTCGGGCTGAGCTAGCGCTGAGGGATCTGGGGGAGTTGGGAACGGTCAGGGGGAGGGTCATGGTGGGGCTGGAGGAGCTGCAGGGGCTTTTCCAACCCGGATGATTCTGGGATTCTGTGAACTTCTGACCATTGTTCCCCACTCATGTACTACTGCTACATTTAAGAGCTCTTTAGAACTTCATTTTTTTCTTTCCATTGTGTTAATTATACGCTGCTATCAAATTATTTCTCACCTGCTCTTTGAGAAAGGAAATAGATCAAGCTCTGTAAGTCTCACAACATTAACTATTCTCTCTTATGCAACTTTTCCAGATCCTTTTAAAAGCTGACGTACAGTGTGTGGGGAGTATTCACAGTTCAGAGTTGCCAGTGTCATACTCAGAGTTATCCCTGTTAATATTTCTTACTCCTACCTTATGTCAGGATCAAATCAGTCCTTTCAGCTAGAGCACCATGCTCGTTTCTGTCCCTGTCCACTGACATCCTTCCCAGAATGACTGTTACGCTGGACAGTCCTCCTATTAGGTGGTGACGACGCATATTTATCAGTCATAGACTTATAACTTTTCACCAATGAAACAGCTTCTCTTTGAGCATTTGTCCCTGAAACTAATCTAGAACAGTGAAAATAACCTGACCGCTGCCTCGCAGTATTATTTCAGATTACTACTGAGAGATCAGCTTCTACATCTGAAGAGACACTGGCTATTACACACTACCTTGCTTGCCCTTTGACTGTTCATTGAAATTCACTGAAAATTGGCTGAAAATCACGGCTGAGGCTGGACCCAGAGCTTCAGGGAGCAAGTTCTCCATTGATCCACTATACCCATGATCCTTTTTAAATAGTCATTTAAAAAGTAATTTATGGATAAAAGTTCAAGTGATTCTGCCCCTTTAATTGTTACTCTTCCTCTGAATGTCTAATTAAGTTGCTTGGATAGAATCCATAGTCAGACGGGCCATTATAGCTTCACAAAGCAATTACTAGTGATTTTATCCGTAGCGATCACATGGGCAGCAAGGAGAGCTACAGCTCCTGGGTGTACATCCAGCAGGCCAAGCAAGGAACAGGAAATACATCACTTCTACCAGAGAGAAGAGCCCACAACCTCGCTTCTACCAGAGCCCGCTCCAATCGCACCAAGCCACTGGCCACGAAGAACTGGTGCTTCTTGTTGCCACTTACCAGGGAATTCTGACAGGGTTGTCCAGAGGAGATCCGTGTAGTCTTCTTCTGTCAGATACTCACAGGTCAGGCTACACTTTGCTTTAACTTCTTTCCTTCTACTGGATACTGTGGGAGCAAAAAAGACAAACCCAAACATTTAGTATATTTAAGTAATCTCTTCTCACCTTCCTTTACTCCTGCTGTGTCTTGATCACTCTCACTGCTGAAAATGATAGCAGGGATGTAATGAAAAGACTCTGCTGCACAGCAGGTCTGTTCTACTGGGAAGTTAGAGCTGAAACTGGACAGTTTATAATGTTATTTGTGGCAGGATGTCTTACCTCTGCAACCATCACTGTTGGAACGAAAGCTTACGCTTCCTTAGCCGCGATAATTTTTCACTCCAGGGCTCATGAGAGTGAACAGAATTAACAGCAAGAATTCAGTTTCTACCTACATAAATTGGGATACTATCTCATCTGTACTTTGAGAAGACTGAATAATACCGTATCTTGGTAAAAACAGTATTTTTAAAGGCTGCATGCTCCTTTGTGGAGGCTAACCAGTGTCAGACCTCTCAAACAGCTAATACACTGTTGTACAAGCTTGGGATCTCTGTCTTCTCCCAATACTACCCATCCTCTTTCTATAACTTTCCAACTATCAGACAATTTTCACTAATTGCCAAGTGTTCTGAATACAATCATGCCTCCCCTGGGAAATCAAACTTTTCAAGGCTCTTCTTAATGCAGTCAAAGCACCTTTTTTTTTTTTAAAAAAAAAAAAAAAAAAAACCAACACAAAAGCCTGCCATAAAAAGGGCGATGGTTTCCCACCATTATCTTTTTTTCTCAGCAGGTCTTCACATCTTGAGAACCTGGGAGCTCCACAGCAGCAGCAGTTATCTCTATCTCAGAACTAATTAGGCTTATCAAATCTGGAAACTTACATTTATTCAATCACTTTTTTTCTCAAGAAGAACGGGTAAGTTTTCTAACAGGCCTCCCTTGAAGGTTGCCTTGCTGTTTTATATTTTGGGCTCAGAAACACTGCAGGACCTCTCTGCATTGTGCAGATAAGGAACAAGAATAACAAAAATGCTTAAAATAAGTAACCCTTTAAGTGGATGCCTTAAAATTCAGTCTGCCAGCCACAGTCCTTTCCAAACTAACAGCAGAAGGTGATCTAATAAAAGATATTCCACCACTTAACAGGGTATATTTGAAAAGAAAAGATGGACTAGTACTCACTGCTGCAGACGTCTCCTGCTTGGAAGAACTCTGTAGTTAATAAAACTAACCCATAATATGAAAAAGCATTGGAAAACCTGCAAGGAAGAAAATGAGAGAGGAAGTCTCAGCTGGTCAAACCTACAGTAAACAACATGAATCAAAACTGAACCCACTGTGTGAGGACTTGCACTAAGTGCTACCTCAAAGCTATTTCCTACCAGCATTTAGAAAATGAAAGGGCAATTAGATTGAGAATGCTAGTGATTGGGTGGTTTAATAAATTACAAATCAATACAGGTTGAGGGTTTGGGTTTTTTTTTTGAGGAGGAAGTTGCTGTATTTTAATGATACTGTAAAATAATGTCCATTAAAAAACATTTAGAACTGTGCTGGCACGGAGCCATTTATATTTCCTCTTACCATATAAACCAGAGTAACAATGTGGTCCATCTAAAATGGGGTGTAAAAAGGTCCCTCATTTTTCCTCGGTCTTCCTGTTGAAAACAAGCAGAAGTCAGAGGAGCAGAGCACTCACTGGTCCTGGACTGGAGGATGCAGTGTCTCAGGATGAGTGTTTGCTTTCAGCTGAGGGCTCTCTCTGAGGAGCTGGGATCCAAGTAAAGAATTCCTCTGCCAAGGGGAATTCTCTAGGAGCATAACGATATCAAAAGCAGTTCATGCACAGGGCACACACACACTACTCCTCCACAAGGAAGGTGAGGACCTGCCAGAACAAGGTGGGGCTGGAAGGAGGGAGAGCAGAACTTTGCCAATCCACGGGTGGCATATGAGTCACGGGGCTCAGGGCCAGCTCCCGTAAATCTGAGCAGCCCCTCAGGGCTTCTGGTCTGGGGTAAGGTACTGAGGAGCTACAGGCAGCCCTCCTGCCAGCAGACCCCTTTTAATCTGCCTGGTTCTTGGAGAGAGAGTGGAGGGCTCATCCCATAAACTTGTGGTTAAGGAAAAGCACTTTCCCACCCCACCCTGAAAACAAAACCATCCCAAACTTGGAGGGCGTTCCTGCACAGCCCGTCGAAATTACTAAGACTGAACCAAGCATCTGTGAAATGCACAGGAGCTCAAAGCCTCACTGATCCAGACCTCAGAAAATCAAACCTCCAGCTCTGTAAGACGCTGTAATTACCGAGAGGCTCCTGCCTAGCTTTACAATTTTGCTCTTGTTCAAATCTACAGGTCTCCCTCTGCCGTCCTTTCTTGCTGGCTAACTTTGTGACTTTCTTTTAGAAGTCTGCTCTGTTCTGTGGATGCAGAGCTGCTTTGTGTGTTAACAGGGGTGCTGAAAAGTTGGCCACATAAAGCTGAAATGAAGAAAAATCCAATGCAATTCCTATAGTAACATGCAGCTCAGAAGTAACAGCCTGAATTATTCCATCCATCAGGACTGAATAGGAGCTTGCAGCTTTGCCACTCCAGAAAATCAGGATTGGATTAAAACTGAGGGACAGCTAAAGAGTCTCAAACTCCATCTTGTTGCAGGAGTTCAGATCTGAGAATTCGGGTCTGAGTTCTTCAGTAGCCTCAAGGTTTGATTTTCCTTAATAACAGGCTCTTAGTGAAGTTAAATAACATTAATAACCACTTCTCACTTGCAGGATCTCCACGTAAATAAACATGAGAAACTAACTCTTCCTCACTGTGAAAGAGGCATCTATGATCACCTGTCATTTTTTTTATTACCATTTGAGACACTGAAATTAAACTTAACATTGATTATTTGCTTATAAAAATACATATGAATGTGGCACGGTTTCATTATATCCCACGTTATTAATGTGCCTGTTACCTGTACATACCTGTCTGGAAATAATTAATTTTCCCAAAGGCATTGGAGCTCCATTTTCAGTTGCTATCCGCTTTAAAGTGGCAATTGCTTTTTCTTGATTTCCAGATAATACATCATACCTGGCACTTTCTGGCAACCACTAAGAGAGCAAAGCAGATCACATGCACAATGGTGTCAAAAACAGAGCAGTAAACAAACTGGGGATTTTCTTTGTGGGCTTACAGTGGGAAATCTCCGTGACCCCAGCAGACTACTCACATAAAACAGGATTACAGAACTAATCTTGAACAAGTCATCTTTCTGACAAATGTCTAACACCTCCTTAGGCCTTAAGAAACTGCAAAACCCCACCTTCACCATAAAGTCAGAACTCCTGTCTCAAATCTTTCGCTTCTGTTACTCGGAATTTATTCTTGAGAAATGTTAAGCATCTGTGCAGGTGCTTTGCATGACACCTTCCCAGTAGGGAAGGCAAAGCATCCAGGACAGATAACAAGATGCTCTAGGCATTCAAAAATTTGCATTTTAAGCTCCTTTTAAAAACAAGCATGTTAGCTCCTGCATAACTGGAGGTATTTCTGAAAAACAATGTCAGTGATTAAGGAATAATAAGAGCTGCTAAACAACCTGACAAGGACATCTGTCTTTGAGAAGAGGGAGTGATTAGCAAATACATTACCTAAGAGTGCACTGAAGCTCATGTCTAACTCATATACGTCTTAATTTTAGAATCTGACCTGCACTATGCAAATTTTACCCCTGGTTTAGGTGGATTTTTTTAGTGGATAGTAAATATAAAAGTTAGGATTTTGACAAATTTTAAAAATCTAAAGAGCAATCCGGGAAACAGCAACAGCTTTTAATAAAATGTTGATTCTACCGAGCTTAGTTGAAACAAAGTCATGAAATTGGAGAGGTTTCCAGGCCTGATTTGGTTTCACAAAATTCCAGCCCACCATTGTCCTCCAGCAATTACAGTCATATAAACACAGCTCTCACTGGAATGTTTTTACTAGCATCCTGTTGAAACAACAGCATTTTTTGTCATTAATTCAGATGTTCCAAAGAAGACACCAACAGAGAGCTCAAAACTGTCACATTTCCTTCAATCAGGTGACAGAATCGGGTCGAGAAGTGGTGGATTGGTGGAACATACATTTGTCTTTGAGAGAATACCTACAAAACATAGGACAGCGAAGAGCAGAAGTGGGAGGGCAGAAAGAATGAGAAGCCACCGCCAGCCAAGAGTGGGCATCACCAACACTGCTAGGAGGACTTCAAACACAGTCCCAATGGCCCAAAAGACCTGCCAGTGGGAAAACAAACAGTCACAAATGAGAATAAGAGTGCTCTTAAGGCCTCCTTCTTTGTAATATTCCGAGACGTGCTCTCTAGGGACAGCTGGAGAGAGAAATGCCAGAGACATTTCAAATATGCACCACTGTATGGAAATAGAGTCCAGACATTTTATGGGGATTTGTTTAAATGTTGCAGAAGCTAAAACGATAATTTCTAAAAACCTGGCATCAACTTTCTCTAGACTCTCCGTGTCTAACTGTAGGTTATTCTCGTAAGGAATAGACTTAGCACGTGGTGTTTCTTAAGCAGAATGATTATTAATCCATCTCTCTATGAGTATTACTCCCAGCTACCATCATGAGATTTCTGGTATTTGTTTTCCTTACCAAAACCAACCTACCAAAGCCACAGAGTTGGCCTGTAGATGAAAGAAGATACCTTCTTAGCAAACACTGGAGCTGGCATCCTCTTGCATATCCTACCCATGCAGGATTATTCTCCTTTACATTATGAATCCGCTCAGCTCATTTTTTAACACTCAGAATATATTTCTAACCCGGGGTTGCTCAGAGGCAGCCAAACTGTGGCAGAATAAAAGTGACACAGAAAGGAGTAATTCATCTACCAAACTCTATTTATGAAAAATTAATCAGCTGAATGTAGGAGTAGCCAGCGGATATCTTAGGAGACTGGTTTTACATTGAGGAGCTGTTTCAGTTCGGTGAGGTTTTCCACAAGGATGCTCCCTCCAAACTGACTGATGCAAACAAGCAATGGTTGTGTTCTCTGACCCTTCAACCATTAAAGGGCTGAGAATTTTGCCTTAAATAGGGCAAAATTCTGCTCTCTGTGGCTTAGCTCCATTTGGATTGAATACGGGGAGCTGAATTTAGCCCTGCATTCACTGAACTGTCAGTTCTCCACTGGCCATTACTGAGTTGTAGATTAATTTCACTGTGAGATTAGGTGACACCCAAATGGTCCCCTGGTGCTAACAGCAGTAACCTCTGCAGCACTGGATGGGGGTGAATTTGCAAAAAGGCAGATTCTACAAGAAGAATGGTGTGTGACATGAACGCTTTATGTGGCTTTTGGATCTGGGCTAGTACTAGTGTATGGGGGTAACCCCAGCTCCACGCTAACTTGGACAATCAAGATTTGACTGCAGCTATGTGTGAGATTTCCAGTCAGTAGGATTGAATGGATGTAACCAACAGCAGAATTTGTCCCTCCAGGGACCAGTATGCACAGCTACACTGCTCACCTCTATTAATAAAATGCATTTTGCTCTGGCTTTCATTGGAAGGAATTCAGCATATAAGGTTACCCTGTAAAGAGTGAACATTGAGAAAAATGTCATGTTAGCACATTGAGAAAAATGCCACATTAGCACAATGAGAGAGGTTCAGAGAATTCGTTTGCCTTTCACTGAAATTGCCAAACCCACAGCAGTAACACAAAACCCTTCCTAGCCCTTCGAGTCCACAAGACCGCGGACACTGGTTCAGATTCCCCTTTCTACCTCAGAACAAACCCCCTTTAGTTCATCATTTCAGTGTGGGACAGAATTTGCTCTGTGTGATTTATAACCCTAGAGCTGTTAGCTAAATGCAGCAGTTCTTGATGCGTATGTTTTCACAACCCTGCTCTGGTCTGGGACAGGCGTTACGCCTGTTATTTTCAGTGTGGTCCACCAGTAGTCAACACAAACTCTTGCTGGGTAAAGTATTTCTTTAGGGCTTTACAATTGGCTCAGAGAATTTCACATCAGTCTGCTCTGCCAGGCTGCAGTTCTCCAAGAGGTGAATACTTTCAAGGTTTGATCCTGTACTGGTATAAAATAATTTGCATTCTTTTATTGTGGAAATTCAAAAAGAAGTCATCTAATTCTGCAGAGTCTTTGCTTCATACCCGTGCCAAGAGTAATGGTACAGCTGCTCTGTGAGTATTTCCTGAGGATGAACACAAGGCCCAGCAGCCACTCAAAAAGCTCTTGTCTTCTTCAAACTGTCTTATGAGACTTGTCATTCTTTGCTCCTACTCTGTTTGCACTTCATTGACTCACCCTGTTTCTGCCTCTAAACTCCTCAGGCTTTCTTTGACGCTTGTGACAAAACTTCTACTAACCTGACAAATGGGGGATTGATCTCTAAGTAGCTTTCCAGAACTCAGTTCATAGAATGACAGACTGGTTTGGGTAGGAAGGGACCTTAAAGTCCATCCAGTCCCACCCCCTGCCCCGGGCAGGGCCACCTTCCCCCAGCCCAGGTTGCCCAAAGCCCCGTCCAACCCAGCCTTGAACCCTTCCAGGGAGGGGGCAGCCACAGCTGCTCTGGGCAGCCTGTGCCAGGGCCTCACCCCCCTCACAGGGGAGAATTTCTGCCTTAGATCTCATCTAAATCTCCCTTCTTTCAGTTTAAAGCCATTGCCCTTTGTCCTATCCCTACATGCCCTTGCAAGTTCATCAAAGCACAAAGCTGCACACAATATTCTATTAAATCAATGATTAAGAGGAGAAGGAAGTAAAATCACGTCATGAAATGTAGAGCAGTCCCCTATATACCGCAGCAGAAAACAGAGGCTGATTAATGCTGTAGAGAACTATTTTCTTCAGAGGATCCTTCACTTCTCTGCAAGTCTGGATGTTGGCACTGTGAATGAATAGTCATACTCAGTGCTAGATAATATCTCGCAGAAAATTCCCAGAGGAGGCTGCAGCTTCTCAGGTGCAGCTCCTACATGGGTGTAGATAGAGGGCTATCTGCCATAGTCAGTTAATTTATTACTGCTGGGTGCTTTCTTTTTAACAGCACCTCTCATAAAACTCTCTCTCTCATACCCATTATGGAGTATACAATTATAGAGACACCCATGACATTCCACTGAAATTCAGCCACTCATCTCCAAAGCACTACAGCCTACTTAAGGATCTTAGAAAGGAGCTACTTTTCCTGCTTCGTACTGATTTACTCCTCTGTCAAAGGAATCACTGTTATAGTTAGAACAAGAAACAGACTCGGCAGCAATGGAATCCACTCCGAGTTCTGTAACCAGCTGTTCTTTGCCTCTTGTTAAATCAGGTAGCCTTTGTCATCACCCACGCCTCTGTAAAAGGGCACTACTGTGCTGGAACACCATTAGTATCTGTTTGCAGTACAAAACATTATTAACTCTGATCCTTTGTCTTTCTTGCTCTCCCTCCTCACTCCAGTTGTGCTCGGTTGGAACTGCACGGCAGAAACTGCCCCACTCTTGGTCAAATACAAGGACTCTCCTATTTTACATACGCGTTTCGCTTCTGTGCAGCTTCTAAAGGTGGGCAGGAGAGCAGTAAAAGAAAATTAATAATACTGTGATGTTCCATCTCAGCTCTGAATCTTTTATCTGGGAACGGTGATAGAAAAGACAGGATATCGACTTGCCTTGTGAAGAAGCCTATGAGCCATCAATCAAAGCTAGACTCTGACTACTCCGAAATAGCACCTCCATGGGGCAAAATATCAATTATTAATACGGATAAAAGACTACACAGAGAGAGAATGGCTATACTCTTCCCTTTACATTTATAATTAAAAGCCTAGAGCAGAGTTATTTATTCCAGGCAGAAAATTCAGAGATTCTCCTCTTCAGTAAATGGAATGATACAGTAATAGAGAAATACTCTGATGCCACCTTCTTATCAGAAATGTGTTGGAGCCATCGAGATATCTTCAGTGTTTGGGCTGGGTGGTTTTGGAATTCCAGCTCAGGTTCAGACAGGGAAGTTCAGGCTCTGACCGAACAATAACCTGCAATTTTACAATCAGGAGTCAGGGCTCTACTGCTAAATGCTGGCATTTAGGTCGTGACCTGTCTTGCAACAAGACCCCGTCATCCCTCATGGACTCTGCCAAGACAATCCAGCAATGCTGTGCTTAGGCACAGCTACAAAACGCTGTCTGTGGTGTTTTACCCACTTCTAGGTGGGCTCCTTGGGCCTCTCATTTTCACCCTAGTTTACCTGAGGGAATGAGGCAAGCTTAAAAGCACTTAAGGCATATAACATATTACATTTAGGAAACCAGCTTGTTCACACAGAAGCCACTGTAAGTCTGATTCACCTTGGTATTAGGTTTCTGCAAAGCCTTCTCAGAGTTTAATGTTGGTTCCAAAATGCTTAGAAAAAAATGGGTTTGGGACAACTGAACAGAGGCATGTCTTCAATCTGACATAAGCATTTAAAAAAAAAAATTAATAGAAAAGAGAAAGTTTGGACTTGTGAATATTTACTTACGACTGAGGCACTCCTCCAATCCCAAAGCCCACCAGGCCCCGCAGCACCAAGATCCAGCTGTACACTGGTGCAAAACCACTGAGGATCCCATAATAGAGCGTCCACAACACGCTGATCTTTAGGCCCTGTGTTTAACAAATAAGCACGAGGAAAAGAGAGTCTCTGCTGTAACACATATTAACAAAATGTAAAGTAGAGCTTCAGACTCCTTTTATTTCACAGGAGATCAATTCTGGCTTTGCTTAGTTCTGCTTCATGGATGTGGACTGTGACATTTGTAAACATCATGCACTGAAACATCCACACTGTAGAAATATTAAAATATGTTCTAGTAGGAGCTGAAGACTTACTGTTTTTCTCCCATACTGGTCTGAAATGTTTCCCCAGAGGGTGGAGCTGGACATCATTCCCACAAACACCACCTGTAAAACACCAGAAAAAAAATCCTCCCCTTAACAACAAGACAAGTGAGAATTTCCATACGACAACAAACTTCACAGTGAAACTAGAAAATTTCAGCTCTAACAACAGAGCAAAATGTCCAGGTGTTCTGGGTACGGTTCCTTAGCAGCAGAGACTATTAAAGGTTATTATTCATATAGTGGGATCTTTCAAAAGTCGCTCAGCATTAGCCTAACTTCACTTCCATTGGCCTGAAAGGGAATTTGCTGTTGCTCAGGAACGGGGATGGGTCTCAGCAGACTGTTCAAGCCAAGGTCTCTCAGCTTCTTCCAGTGGTGGGTCCATTTTCAGCAGTCACCTTGTTTTTGTTGAGGTCAGCAATCTAAACACAACGTCCATAAACCGAACCTCTACCAGGCTACTTGTCATCACTCACCCTTATCTTACTGGATAATTTGTGAACTACTGAATTAGACCAGGGCTGAATATTTTTGAGCTTTTGATAAACGGAAGAAAATGAATTATGAGAAATGACCGGAGAGCACAATTTGCCATTAAATGGAAATCATTGTCTGGTTTCTGGGTTGGGTTTTTTTTGCTGAAGGGTTTTCATAACCCACAAAAAAATCTTTCATCTGCTTCACAGCAAGGCCCCACGGAGAGTTTCATTAACATTACTGAGGGGACAGGCAAGTGGAGACAGGAGCAAGTGTCTGCTTTGGAGCAGGGAAGCAACTCGGCACCCCTCAAGTCAGCTTTGCAATTAAAAGCTCCATCCAGTGACAAACCAGTCTGACACTAGAATGTGCACTCTGGTATTATACACACTGTGAGTCCAGCCCTGGAAGATGCTGAGCTCTCCAGTGCCTATGAACATATTCATGAATAAAACCTGACTGGTGTTGCTTGAGAGCTGCAAGGCAGAGCTGTTCCAGGAGCCCAGGGCTGATGCAGGACTTCTCAGCCAGCTCGCCTCCAGCCTCCCATTGCCATTCTCAGCGGGTCGTCTCAGATTTGGAGATAAAATTAGATCTAACAACTTTAGAAAAGTCTGAAAAAAGACTGAGGTGTCAAGGAAAATGTATTGTACACTTTTCAGAGGTGACACCAAGAAGTATAGTTTATTCCTGTAGATGGAGGGAGAAATAAAATCCTGCTCAATGAAGATAACGGCAAAACCCAGCACCTTTCCCCCATCAGTGGACTAAAACCACAGGAATTCTGTCTGAGAAAGAAGTGCATACTCAAGAACTAAGTGGGGTAAGGAGCAGTTGTGTTTGTCAAAGCTTTTCTCTCATGTCCACCAATCCCTTCTCCTCCGGATTTTTCCCACCAAGAATAAAATTGTGCTGAGCTGAAAGAAGGAACAAGACCTTCCTTCGGATGGGCTGGCTGCATTCGGGCAGGGGAAAGGACACGATCTTAACTTAATTAAACCTACTGAGCATTTTGACCAATTTACACAACACCACAAATGGCATCAAAAGCTGAAGGAAAACGAACAGTAGGAGTTAAAGTGCATGCCACACAACAGTGGTGTATGCTGAGAGAAGGGTCCCAAAACTAGTTTTCTTATCCCTAAAGGCATTGCATGTTTCCAGCATCGCAGCACCGTACTCCGAGGTGGTATCATAAGAGCTCTGCTTGCAAAGATCACTGGATGATCCACCTCAAAAAGCAATTGCTTGCTCTCTCTCACGGCTCCCAGCCTGTCTACAAACAAGCAAGATTAAATGGGGTGAGAGAGAAATATTTTCAAGAAATATAGTAAAAATTTATCAATCTTTTCTTTTCAATTAATGAATTGGTTTGAATTTTAGGATGAGTCAATTCTAATACAGTTTCCTGAAACTTTGAACCTGAAACTTGCAAAATTTCCTGAGTTCTCACTGAGTTTCAGTTCTTGAAGCTCTGGCTTTAAAAAAAAGACTCCTATATTCTTCCGAGCCAAAGGCAATCTGCAAGGGCCATGAACAGATTTAACTCTGGGATATAAAGCATAATGTCTGAATAACAATGAGCGGAAAAACCTTACAGAATACAGGAGCTGTCAGTTATTTTTCCTACCGATGTGAGCAATGCAACCTGCCAGCTTGGTAATCGCCACTCACAATGAAGCTGAGGAGCTAGGATACTTAAAATCATCATTTCCATAGCATCTGCCATCTAGAAGGGTAAAAGAGAAACAAGAATAAGTAACTGCCTGAAAATTAGATTGACATAGCAGTCAATAAGATACCTTCTTGAAATGAACCTTGTTTCTGCTGGTGCCATTCCCATTCTGCGGGTGAAACAAAACAATTACGTTCACAAGGGACAGTGGGTGCACATGGTGTAGAGAAAAAGGCAACAGGTGCACTTTTAAACTAATTTCTGATGGTTGGAATTTTTCGTAACACCAGCAGAGACGATTCAAAGAGCCAAACTGAAAGCTCTTGGTGCGTGATTTCGAGGAGGCTTGTCTGGTCAGACCCCCAGGTTCATTCACTTCCACATCGGATGGTACAGGGCTGAGCTTTCAACTCCTTTACAAACAGATTCAGCCAGAATTGTTAACTACCTTGTAACCTCCTCCCTTTCTCCCTTACACGCTACTTCTGGATTTGTATAAAATAAATTGATAGATCATCCATCATCCAAATTCCACTACTGATTTAGGATCTAAAGCATGGCAGATTGTAACCTTACACCTAGGTGATAGCTGGTAAATACAGGCTCCAGATATTACTACCCTCAAATATAGCACAGTAGATGTAAAATATAGTGCTTCAGAAAGAGCAGAACAGTGAAAACAAAAGCCTGTCTTTTTGTTCCGCATATCAGGGTTAAAACTAGAAGCACTGGGTTGCCGTGCACCTGAAACTGAGATTGCAGTAATACTGACTAATACAGAAAACAGAGATTGGGATGAATGTGGTAAAACCACTGTATGAAACCTGAGATCTGCTTCTGTAGGGAGAGCCTAGTACCCTTTCCATTTGAATCAACCACTTGAAGTAGAGAATTAAAATGATTTACAAGAACTTCAGGAACAGAGAAATCAATCAGTTCCCCATTACCCCACATACCAAGTTTGAGTCCAGCTGTCATTTCAGAATTTCAAGTAAAATTCCTTCTTTATTATACAATTATCTGTTAGGAGACTTTTTGTCAACAGAGAACGGCTATGTTATTTGAAATCACTGAGATTCTCTAACTGAGGATCATGCAGTTGACCTTGATAACAACTACTTGCCCATGCTAATCCAGTAATAACAGACAGCTTCCACTGGAACTTTCCAAATCCAATGGCTTCCACCGCATCTTCCACCATGAAAGTATCTAGAAAGAAAACAATTCTAGTGCAGAAGTGTAATCCTCTCCCAGTAAGAGCCATCCCTTGAGACAGCACTTTCTGTGAATTCAATTACTTATTAACTGAGTAGCCTACTGAGTTTACTTATTATTTACTACCCTACTGAGATCTAAAATATAAAACAGAGAGCTACTTAGCTTTTACACAGTTCCTACTCAGGAAAATCTCTATGTTCTTCAGGAATTGTGCTAAAGCCAAAATAATTCTAAACACTCCTAGAACATTTTATTCCCATAGAAGTAAACCAGCGTAGCACCAATGACTCCAGAACGTTCAGTGTGTTACTCCTGGGAGTGACTCCACCAGCCACTGGATTGTAGCTTCCTCCGGTGAGAAGTATATAAGCTGTTCAACAGCACACAACACTATGCAAGTGATGGAAATGGCAGAAGAATATTTTACTGCATCAGAGTCAAACTGTAATTACTTTAATCAAGAATTTGTCCAAGACTTGTACACCTGAAAACACACTTTTGTTAAAAGTGTTGATGATTCTTGTTTCCCACACACTGTCATGACCTCGTTATCTTGTTCTATCTGAAGATGAGATATCTCAAATTCCTTTGCTCAAGTGCAAAATGAAATATACAACAAAAAAACATTTTGATATTCAAGATAAATCCATTTAGGTCTCAAAGTTTTAACACTTTCAGCAGTTTAAAAAGTACGTTCACCACAGAAAAGCTTTATCTAGCTAAGAGTTGGACATCCTCACGAAGCAAAAGACAAAAACACAAACCAAGAAGAAACCAAACAAAATCTAACTGATAAAATGAAGCAGAGATGTCCTAAGCCCTCAGTTTGTGACTTCAGCTCAGGCATTTGATGTGATGGCACTGAAACCTGGCATGCTGGGCTGTGGCATCACTTGCTCTTTTAGGGGCGAAGTGCCAACTGAAATTCTACATGTACCTGAAGGCTTGATGCACTGAGTCTTCTGTGAACTCACTGAGCTCACTCCGTGGTATTCTGGCTTCCCAGAGCAGCAATATGTTAATAAATAAGTCCCTGGGTAAACAGTCATCCTACAGAAGTTTAGCTAAGGCAAAAAAAAAACCCGCTTCTCATTTCTCCTAAACTGGTGTTACCTTCAGGGCAGCCGTCACTTCTCTGCTGGGCAGCAAGCAGAGGCGGGGATGTACGTTTGTTCTGTCCCTCTTGTCCTCTAGGCAAGGAGGAGACAGAACACTGCAGAGGCTTTAAGCTCAGCCTTGAAGGTGAGCCACGTCTGGCTGCTCCAGTAAAGCCGGCGATGGTTTAGGAGCACTGATCGGTTCTAAAGGAAACTAAGTCAAACCTCCGGTACAAAATAGGTGGTGACAACTGGATACACAACGCCCTAAAAGGGTCTGTTACTGGTAATATAAACAAACAAACAAACACACAAAGCATCCCGCAGAGAACAAGGCAGCTAAACCATGATTTTCAGGTGTAACATAATTTGCCTGTGTTATTGTTTCCTTCTTTTATTTGGGGATCTTTAACTTCTCTAACACAAATGTATTCAGCCTGGCTGCAACGTGACTGAAATGAAGAGGCCACACCTTTCTCCTTCCAGGAAAACAAGAAATCTACTCACCATCAGTTGGGTTGGCAAATTCTTTCGGCACTGCAGCTCCATCCTCTAGCTCAACAGGCTCTAGCTCTGTCCGAACACCCTCAATCTGGACTTCATGTTCTCCTGAAATGACATCCTCATCTGACCTCGAACTTTCCCCAGTGCGGCGAAACTTGACCACCCTAGGAACACAGAAACAAAGATTAATACTTTGGGGGGTCTTTTTCCAGGTCAAAGCTCTGTCTGGTGAGTCCTGAAGCCCTATTTGGTCAAACAGCAGACAGGTTTTTTCCTCACCCTCCTGTCTCTGTTTCACGCTCCCAGAGAATGCTGTGACTTTTTTCTGTATCTGCTTTTAGGTAGGGTATCCTGTTGGTGCTGCTGCCTTTGGAAAAACTGCAGAGCACATTGCTCTGTGACATCGTCATCATTTTTGTGCAAAGAGGACGTTATTGTGCTAACTATAGAGTTATAAAAACATACAGGTTATAAAAATATGATGAAATTATACATATTTAATGATAAACATGTTTTGTGTGCCTAGACTTTTACTGCGAATTAGACATAGCTGTGTCATTGAATTTCAGGTGCTTTGTCCTTGCAGGAAGAGCCCAAATTCAGTTTCCCACATTGTTTTCATAAGAGTGATTTGTGTCTTAGGAGAAGCAGAACGCCTGACATTTGTCAGATTTTGAAACATTACTTAATGAAGTACGATTCGTAAGACGATTCAGTGAATTGAATAACTTTTTTCCCTCACGATGATGATAATTTTGTGACTGTAAGTACGACTGCTTTCATCTCATCTTAAAGCGAAGTCTTTAATATTATGTAATTAATTTAATAACTGTATTTTAAGAAACTATTTGATTTCCAATACTTGGTTCATCTGTGTATTTTTTGACTCTTCGGTAACGAGGTGGGGCAGAATAAGAAAGTGAATCAAAGGACACATCTTTTTTTCATTAAATCCAAGTCGAGACAGAAGAGTGTACCTGCCTGCCAGTTGCAGCGCTGGCATTATCAGATGATGGTTGTCACATGAGTGTCTTGCTCACAACTCTCTGTATTTTACATCATTTCTGGCACAAACTGAGAGCTAATTGCCTAATCTCTGCAGCAAGGCCACGGAGAGGATAAGACGTGAAAACAGAACTTTGCTAAATGGACACAACCTTCACATTTTGGTTAGAGTGATTTTGTGCAACACTTCGTGTATATAGAGAAAGTTGTTTCCTGTGACCAAACAATTATTTTGGAACAGATCTACCATTTTTAATGTAACAGATGCCTCAGCTTCCTTCACTTCACCTGCAACATCAGTGTAACTTTTTCACCTTGGCAATTGGCAATTTCTTGGACTTCTGTGAAAAAGTTTTTTGGAAATAGATTAAATTAGTCTTGCTACTACCTCTTCTGACTTTCAATACCTGAACATTTTAATTCTACAATACAGATTAGCTGAGAGCCTCTTGAACTTCAGTTTAATCCTTTGGTTTAAGGGTCAGCAAAACTAAACTATCAGCATCCTGGCCAACTGCAGGTGCAGCAAACTGACATGTATGACACTTGTAAAGGTGACCTGAAAGACTTGTCATATTTGGCAAGACCCCGATTCTTATTTTCTCTTACAAGTGCTGATGACAAAATCAGCACTTAATGTAAGGGCAAAGTGATGGGCAAGCTACAAAACTCCTGTTAATGGATATTGGTTCAGCGGTGGACAAGAGGATGGAGGAACCACGACCTCCACCACCCCACGGGGGTTTTCACAAAGAGAGGAGCAGTCCTGGCCATGACTAGCCATTCAGTCCAGCTTAGAAAGCAGAGGGATACAAAACTTTTTTTTTTTTTCCCCTCTCACAGTCCTGGCACATATATTATTTCCCTGACCACATCCCATCTGGGGAATTGCACATAGTCACTAATGATACTCTGGCAGTAACCTGGAGAGAGACAGAGTGCAGTGACCATTTTGTGAGGTTATCACTCATCCTTACCACTGCCTACTTTGCAGGCTGTTGAGATGTTTTGGGATGATTTTTTCAGGTAAACAGGGAATTCCAAGATTTCTATGGGGCAAATATTCCTTGGAATACTTCAGTAATGCTCTCACCTGCAGCAGGAAACTGAAAGCTTTTCTCTGGCCTTTATGTCTTGGCAGACAAATAACAGAATTGAAAATTTTGTTTTCTAACATTTGAAGATCTTAAAGATAAGAACACAGAACAAAAGCCCAGGCCTCTTCAAAATGAACAAGAAAACTACCCTGAGGACAGCAAAACTAGGGTTTATCTCACATTCTGATTTGGGGTACGCAGGAGATCCTTTACTCAGTTATAAAAAAAGACAAAACAATGAAACTCGTCTGAATTCAGGTTCAGATTTAGTTCCACTGAGAAACTGAATTTTAAATTTTCTTCATTTGATTGTTTTTTTAACCTCAATACCTCCTGGTTTGAATTTTCTTTTGCTGACCCTACAGGACAAATAATAAAATTGTCAGTGAAGATAGAACCCTCATATGACCTACAAAACACATTCAGCAAACACTGAAATCTGAGTGCCCATGAGATGACTTTTTGATTGCATAGGGCAATTAATATCAAAGTACCATTCACAGCTTATTTGCAAAAGCTCTACAAGAACCTGGTTTAACTCTATAGGAAGTAAACTTTTATATTTGTATTTTTTTAAAGGAAGACTATTACCATAACTTCAGTAGTCTCAAAGCCTGGTGCAAAGTTTATTGAAGTATATGGACACTCCTTCCTCAGATTTCAGGAGGTCTAAAATGCCATTACTCCATGGGATTATGATGGAAAATCATTCATACAAACTATGCTGCTAACTCTTCAATGTTTCTATTAAGCAGAATAAATCTGCCAGCAAAACCCTTCCTGGCTTTAAAGTACCTGATCAAAAAACCTCTATATTAGTTTCTTATTTTGTAATATTTGCTGAAGTAGACCTTCAGAACTGACCATTTTGGAGATGGTGATTCCAGACACTATACAAAGGCAGCAACTGATCTAAAAATTGTAAATACTTGAACAGCAATCTGAGTAGAGAGCTAGCTGGCCACATTCCTCATCACAGGAAATTAAAAAAAAAATGTTTATCACTTAGGAACCTATGAAACAAATTGACACAAATGAAGAAAAAAAAAAACAGTGATATTTACTGTTTATACTTGCAAAATTCTTCACAGCTGAGACATCTCGGCTGCGTTTGTTTGTAAGATCTCACAGCACCAAATACGTCTAATTACACCTACACTGAAAGGTACTTTAGAACATTTTTCTGTGCTTTGTTTTAAATATTAGGAAAAATGGCTTAATTAAATCATGTATTATTCCTTATAATGACAAGCTGACTGCATCCGATCTAAGTATTTAAAAATAACTGGAGTTCATGTCCATTTTCCCAACTTATTAGAAATGTTATGGGACAGTTTGCTCTGTCATTGACATAAGCTCATTAATATTTAAAATCAACTTTAAGCATTTATTCCCTGCCTTGCAGAGTCAATGATTCATAAACAGGATTATGTTTCAAAGCCCCTGATAATGGAGCATTAGCAGAAATGCACTCGTTTTTAAAGGAAACATTTTGCATTCATGAAAAGGAGAGGAAATACAGGCGTTAAAAAGCAGCAATGCTTTTATCACCTTTTCTCACAGATCCAGCAACCACATCCCAGCAGCAAAGAGCTCCTCACAAACAACAGCATTTCCCTTGTGCAGCAATGTTTGCTTCTCCAAACCATGCAGCTAGCAAATACCCGCGATGCTCACTGCCAACACACCTTTGCAAAAAAGGTTGTGATCTGCAATCGGTTCGCAGAATGAAGGAGGAAGCCGAGGAAGATGCCTTCCCTTGCACAACGTTATTTACAGATGCAACCCACCTTGCAAATGCAATAGTAATGTTTTCTCTCTC